CCCCAGGGCGCTGCTGCTGGCAGCTCCCCAAGTCACCCCCAGAATCCCTTTTCCCAGGGCGTTCGGAGCACGCGGTGGGTGTCTCCTGAATCGCACCAGTATAAGACTTCCAGTACGTAAGTTTGGCTGGCGCGCCACAACGCTCCGCACACCAGCGAGACCAGTCCGACAACGGAAGGCAAATGTCCTCTCCGGGCCGGGACGCAAAGGTGCAGCACCCGCCTTTTGGAAAAAGCTTCCCCCACGCCCGCACCCTGTGCCGTTTACCACAGGTCTTTTGCAGCCCCCCGTCAGAGCCAGCCGTTACCAGAGGAATGTCTCTGCGCCGTCCGCATAGGCACCAGGGCGGCTGGTTTGTCGGCCGGGAACGCCGCGGCGGCTAACGCAGCGCTCTCCGTGCTGCTGTCTGCTGGTGTGACAACTCCAAAGCCAGAACTCGGGTAGCATGTCTGGTACTGGCTCTGGCCAAGGATCGTGTACGTGGGATATTCCTGTTAGAGGGAAGGATTGGTTATGACAGGACACTTCTTTCAGAAAACACCCTACATGAAGATGACTTTGACGCTAGAGCATGCCTGTCAAAGAGAAATCCCAGCAAGAGCACAGTCTGACTTCACACTATTTGACTCTGTTTTATCCGAGCCTCATCAGAACGCATATTCCAATTTACTGGGTGTTTTTTGATTTGTTTGGCTGTGTACAACCTACTTTCCTTTTCTTGCTGAGGGAGAACAAAGGCGTTCAGAGAACATCCACCTATAATCCTCCCTGTAGGTTTGGTTCTCAAAATAGTTCTGCTGCTGCTTCTGCACTGTCTCTCTTGCAGAGATCTCAGTACCCTGTTTAAGACCCACCACACGATCTGCAGACAACGAAACAGCTTTGAACAGACCAGGTGAGTTTGTTGCAAAGGCCAGAGGGAAAAGCGCCGGGGCCAAAGAGGCAGCCAGAGTGACTGTGCTGCCTCTGAGTTACCTACGGAGGGAGCCCTGTAACCCCAGGGCCGATGGTGCTCGGCGAAGGAGGTGCTGCACAGAAATGTAACAAGGAAAGAGTTTTACCTGTGAGATGCTGGCTACTGCTGATGTGGAAATATTGACAACAGTTGAGGATGTAGAGACTGGACTGGCATTGGTAGTCGATGCTGTAAAATTAAGAATTACTGCATTAAACGCTTCTAGAAAAGCACAAGAGACGAGACCAATCGAAGCTGCGAAATAAGCACTCCCTAGGCACGTGTGCAAGCACTTGTGCTTCCAGCAGCACTCTGCTTGTAACAGCCAAAAAGAGTTGGGGTGTATTTTGAAACCAGTCACATTTCAACTGGGCTTACAGGGAAGGAGAGCTAGTGTATCTTTCAAAACAGTACTTCAAATGTTGCTGAAACCTTTTCCCTCCATGCCAGCTAAGCAACTGGAGTATAATTTAAACGGTTTCAAGTCTTTACTAAAAGTTTTGAGAAGACAACAACCACATTCTGATGTTGAATTAGAAGCAGTTGAAAATTGATCAGAATAAATCAGTAAAATGGATACGAATGTGTTTAAATCAGCTCTGATAAAAAATTTCTCTCTGCATTGGAATTTGCATATTTAGTCTAATTAGATAAAAAAACTTAAGGAAACAGTAAAAATATTTAAAATCATATAAAAGTGGTGGAGAAAGCGAACATACCTTCCCATATGCCTGTGAGAACTACAACTGGTTTTGGATAAGACTTTCTGAAATCATTTGTCAACAGTTTGTAGGCCAAATTACTAGAGGGTAGCTGTCAGTACGAATGTTAAGACGTTTTGATAGCCTTCGCGTCACTGCATTCGGTCCTTCCAAAACACAGAAGAGCTAGAGCACCACCTGGGAACACCAGGCACTTAGCAGATTTTGTGGATTTACAGCCACAGGGCCACTCCATTAAACATTACTCACACGGGGTTTTGGGACCCTCAAGGATTAGTGAAAACAAATAATGAGGTCAGCACGAACAAAATCAGGATATACTAAACCAGGTGCCGCCCAGAAACATGTTCTGTTGCTAAACCTTTCTCTGCACACAAATGAAACCAAAAATCACTTTTAGATGCTTATGAAAAGACGCAGAAATCCACAGCATGGCCTACTTTACCGTCACTCTGAGAAAGCCCTCACTTTCTGCAAATACACCCATGTGGAATTCACCCCAAGACGGAAGAACTCGAGCTTCTGAAGGCTGCAGTCTTTCCAGCCCAGGGAAACAGACCCCACCATGAACTCTTACTCAATGTACGTTGTGTAACGGCAAGCACAGATGATACCTGATAAACAGCTCCTGGAAAGAGCAATGGATCCAAAATATGCCTCAAAAAAGATGAAAGACAAAATAGATGTATCTTGAAAGAGGTGCAGAAATACACAGTACTTACAAGAGGTGAGGAATGTGAAAGGTGGCATCTCTGCAGAAGCAGAAACGAAGGGAAGTAATCAGCCCCTGGGAAAGCCCTCATAGATAGAAGCAGCAGTGTTCAAAAACAGACGGGGGAAGAATTTTGAGGGGAGAGTATTTAGAAAAAGGGAAAAAGCCTGCACTGAACAGCAATAATGGTAATGAAGATACTCAAGTACCTGTAATAGCCATGCAGCTACTAGAGGCAGAGCTGTGAGGGTAAGGTATCCGTCACAGACACTCCTCATAAGCAACTGCTAGAGAACAGGGCTCAGTTTCCCAATAAAACCCTTCCAACTACACAGGTCACGGAAACGATCAAGGCTGTCACCACCCCAAGAAAACGTCGCTTCCCAGGGCACTGCGGAGAGCAAAGATCCTCGCGAACGCAGAGCAAACCTGCCGCGAAGCTGCAGGAGATGAACCATCTAAAGACAGACTATGCTACCACCTCTCTCAAGGTAATCAGAGAGCCCCAGAAAGTGGTTCGGCTCTGCAGGGCGCTGAAGAGGCTGCTTCTCCACTGAGACGGAAACCGAAGTTAAGAAATCATAGCAAAAATATTCCAAGTGCTGAGATTCTGGTAAAAACACAGAATCCCTCATATGAACTTTATTGTTCACCTCAACTCTGGTCTCCTTCCAATCTTTCTTTTTTAATTCCCTATGGAGTGCTACACAAGGGATCTTTACAAACAGCTCCCACCACACAGGTTAATTGATTCTTTCTGCACTGCAAGTCAGTTCTTTTACCTGTGAACGGGCCAAAAACACGTAAAAATGTTTGGCCCAGATGTGCCAAAAGGGACCACCTCATGGTCTCAGGTTGAAAAGATCAGCACACCCAAGTACTGCCCTGAAGCTGACATGACTCCTTCTTTCTCCTCTCTTTCCTCCCCCACTTCCAGACGTCACCCTCAGACCTTACCCCCCTACCTCCCCTGCCTTCCTCATCCCACTGGGTTTTGCTCCAGTTGTTTTCAAAGATGTTTCAACCTGCCTCATGTGCTGGGAAGGGAAACTTTATGTTTCAGTCGGCTGCTTTGCTCTCACGGGGCAGGAAGAGGCAAGGCAAGAAGCAGCCGTTCCTCCTGCGTCGCTCCCAGTGCTTCCAAGCGCCTCTGTGACCTACCACTGGGGCCAGAGCTCAGGTGAGTACAAAAGGCAAAATTCTCAGTCACTCAGTGCATCTCACCATTTACCAGCGTTCAAACATCACGTTACTTCAGCCCAGCACTGGCAAACTAAACCACATCCGAGCACTGAAATGCACCTCCAGCGGGAAAGCAGCACCGTACAGCTGTGTACCCCGCTACTGTCTCGACTGGAGAGAAAAGACAGACTTCCAAGAGATTACTAATAGAGCAACTTGTCCATCCTTCCAGCTTGGGCGCTCCACCACCTCCCTCGCACCAGCCTGACCTCAGTGTGCTGCTCGCTAATTTGATGGAAAGGAAACACAGCAAATCCAAAAAAGGAAGAGTCTCCTGCCAGTCTGCAAAAAGTTTTTCAGAAAAGCGATAGCATTTGTACACTTCAGGTGACTTTTTCACATTTTCAAAGAGCAGCCTGCAGGGAAAATCTCCTCAAACCACACAGTCTCACAGCAGCGCAGACCAAATGGTTTAAAACTCTCCTGCAGAGCGAGGCCTGACGGTGGCTCTGTCACCTCACCAATCCCCAGGGGTTCACGTGCTCGCCGCGGTACACCACCGGCAAACCCGCCAGGGGTCACGTCGTGCCGAACTGCGTCTGACCCCGGCAATTAAAGCTGGTGCTACAAAACACTATCGCTCATTCTGCCCGTGGGAGTACCTGGAGGAGACTTAGGTTGAAAGGAAGGCAGCATTTCCAGTGCTGTGTTGCTCATGTTACGGGTGTGAAAAGTAAATTAAGGATAAACATTATGCTGGGCCGCTTATTGTCACCATGACACAAGCTGAGCAAGGACCATGACACACCGCATGGCCTTCCCACCAGTGAAAGGTACGCTAAAACCCACTCCCTGGCAATTTGAAGCATTATTCCCCCTTACTTGGCACTCCTTAGACCACAGCTGGATAGAGCATTCAGTTTGGGGCCTGGAGCACAAGAAACATGTTGATAAAATTCAGTGGGCGCGGCAAAGAGCCACCAAACCAGCCCTGGAGCTGGAGCATGGGCCCTGCGAGGGGCAGCTGGGGGGAGGGGGACTGTCCAGCCCGGAGAAGAGACGGCTCTGGGGGACCCGAGAGCAGCCTCCTGGCACCTGCATGGAGGTTATCAAGAAGACAGAGCCAGGCTCTTTTTGCAGGTGCACAGCAGGAGGAGAGAAATGGTCACAACGTGAATGAGGGGATGCTCCAAGCTTGCAAAAGAAAAGAAGTTTCGCCATGATGACAGGCACTGGAACTAGCAAAATCTCCATCCCTGGAGGTTTTTAAGACCCAACTGGATAAAGCCCTGAGTAACCTGGTTCCAAATTCAGCGTCAACTCTTCTTTGAGCAGGAGGCTGAACTAAGATCTCCTGAAGTCCCTGAGTTATTCTATGAAAATTTCACACAGGAAATAGATGAAGAATTCCTGAAAAGCTTTCTAAAAACTACAGAGGAAGAGACAAATTTTCACAATTCATCACCCAAGCATAAATGGCAAAAATCCCACTTAAAAAAAAAACAAACTATCAATTTGCACATATTTGCCATAAGCAACAATATTTCATTATCCAGCTAACTGGCACATTTACTCCTAAAAACTGCTTTGGAAGCTGGTGAAATTCACCACCTGGCTTCTTAGGTGTGGCACCTCCAGCTGCTGGAATATTGGTAGGTTAGCTCTACACTGAGAAATTCACTCTCCAGCAGATCCACCAACCTGGTGTGGGGGGGTGTGCGTGTGTAATATGTAAGAGCCATCTACCTCCAGAAGTAATTAAAAACAACAACAACAACAAAAAAAAAAATCCAATGTCAGTCAGCGTGCTTCCTGACATCAAACTACAGACCACCAACGAAGAGCTTGAGCTGCAAGAGCATTCCCAGTAAAGGCATGCAAGAACACAACATTTAGTCTCCTCTCCCCTTCCCATTTGCTCTTCACCCTGTTAAATCCAACAGCATGGCACCAACAAGCCAGCCTGGTGCATACAGAGGTACGTAGCAAACCCAAACCCAAACACACACACACACGAAGAGAGAAGAGGTAAAGCGTCAAGAAGCATGCACAAACCGAGAACAAACGTGCAAGCCTCTCTACTTGTGCTATCTGGACTCAATTACACGGAGAGAGATGCAGATAAAAACCATGCCAAGTTACCTTCAATGGAATAAGAATAATGTGCTGGGCTGGGCTGGCTTGTGGTTAACCCTGTAGCGCAGGTAAGAACACTGTGCTGACTTGTAGATGGAGTCTGAATTAAACCACTTTCAGGTTTCATACCTGGCCACAGTGCACCTGAATCAGATAAATTGGACCAGTTACAAACAAATATGCTGGGACCAAACAGCATGCTGCTACCTCAGATTACGAGTTTTGCTCGTCACAAAAGCAAGTCACAAATCACACACGGAAAATGTTTATTTTCTGCAACGGCAAGTGCTGACTGTCAGGCTGTGCATGGATTAGAGCTGCTGACAAAACTGGCTGAAAAAGAGAAAATTAAAAGTACCAATAAGACCAATTTCTAAAGCTTTCAACTAAAAATCTGTTAGTGTCACAGTAAGATTCACTGCCACATTGGTATAAAGGAACTGCTAACCCCTCTGAAGTTTGGGCTGAGTCGCACAGCACTGCAAATGACCTCAGCTATTACACAGCAAGGCCGAAGTTGGTATCTGTTAAGGTCAAGGTCAATGCTTCCGCTATTTCACTGGGCTTTTGGTTGAGTATTTTAAAACAAGCCACCAGTCAGTGATTTTCATAGACTGATAACAGCAAATATAGAGCTCAAAAAAAGGGGAAAAACCCCCAAATGTTCCTTCTAGACTTCCTGCCACTCTGCAAAGCGTTTGTAACAACACTGGGCAAAACACAGAGGCAGCAAAGGGCCCGTAATTTATCTGTACAAGGCACACATAAGCGGTGTGGTTTCTGCTCAGGTGCCACGTTAAGGTCTAGTCTACTGCACTGATGGGGTGAAAACAGCATCTGACTGAAGTTGCTCAGCTCAGGCCTGGTGCTGCAGGACTCTGCAGGCTTTTAAGCGTTTCCAGACCCAGAGGCACAGACAAAGGCATTCTTCCCTGGTGCTGGTTAGAAAGCAGGAATCGGCTGAGAGGATCTACTTAAAAACAAGCAGGAGTGTGCAAAGCAGAGGGGCAAAGGACGTTTGGTGCTAGACACAAAGTTCAGGGCCACCAGAAAGACCACCCTCCTTCTTAAACCCCCCCAAACGGTAGCAAGGCCTCGAAAGTCCCCTGCAGCCCTTCACTCGCTCTAGCAGGATGAGCCACGGGCTACGAGCTCCAAGTCTCTGACGCAGAAGACACGGGAGACTCCACAGAGCTGGACAAGAGCTGCAACTCCAAGAGCTCCCTCCATGCTGCAGCTTTGTCAGAATCAAATTCCGCACAGGCTCTTCAATTCATTTACACACCTGATCTCAGACTGTCACCCATGAGTCAAATTAAATCATTCACCTATCCGTGCAGCCACACCAGGGTCTTGATTCTCCGACTCTCAAGTTGCACCTTCATTACTGTTTGAAACCTCTAGAACCGTGATAATTAGCAAACAAAAGGGAAAAACTGATTTAGGAAAGATTGTAGATATATTGCACAAACTCCAAAATAAAACATATGGGGAACAGATCCTCTAAGGAGAGTGGGCGTAGCTGTATTGGCTCAGTCTGGAAAGGAGTGCCGCAACCTTCAAACAGGTGAGCAGTTTTTAGAGGGGACAGTAACGGACAGTTCCTTAAGTGCAAACAGATGGACAAGGAGCAGACAGCAATGTAATGAGAAGGTCACAGGACACAAGAAGTGCCCAATAACCGTGACAACGAAGCACAAACCAACTCTGAATGCTGTAGGATATTATTGCACGAGGAGTGGTTATAACACCAGGTCAGACACCCACGTCCGGGGTGTTCGCAGGGCTGGCTGGATGCGAGCGCAGGAGCTGACTCAGGCTGTGTGTTAAGGCATCTTTCCACGACCGTCTCTTTGCCATCTCCCAGTACAGACAGGTCCCACTCTCCACCCAGCAAGGCACACTCTCGGCCCGGTGGCACAGGTCCTCCCGTTCTGCAGGACAGCACTTACAAGCTAGCTCAGCCTCCAGGGCGGCAGAGGAAGCCGGGCGAGAGGGAAGGAGATCCCTCCACGTCCAACGGCAGCACTGCAGCTGGGGCAGAAGAATGTCACAGGACATGCCTGCAGGCGTGGAAAGGCCCCACCCCGGATGGCCCATCCCTTCTAAGTTCTTCTTGAGTTCATGTAAACCCTCACATCCACAGGCTCCTAACACCAAAGTACAGCCACCCATACGCAGCTGGTATGTCGCTATGCTTATTGCAATGCTTCTTTAACAAAATCTCTCCAGACCACACGTACCTTCCATGCAGAGCAATGCACTGAACACCAAAAAAGTGTTCCGGCACCCAGAGAGGTGACAAATTGGCAAGAGCACACGTCATCCCTCCTCTAAAAGCAGCATCCTGCCCTGAGTGATCTCAAGGCTATGCTTGCATTTGTCAGCTCGCTTGAATTTCACACCCAAACACATCTGTGTCCTCGTTTCAGCTGGAGTAAAGTTAATTTTCTTCCTAGTAGCTGGTGCAGTGCTGTGTCTTGGACTGAGGGTGAGAATGACGGTGCCAACACACCGGTGGTTTAGTTGTTGCTAAGCAGTGTTTACACCAAGTCAAGGTCTTTCCAGCTTCTACTGCCCTGCCAGCGGAGGCTGGGGGTGCACAAGGAGCTGGGAGGGGACACAGCAAGGACAGCTGACCCACACTGTCCAAACAGGTATTCCATACCATATGACATCACGCCCAGTTTATAAACTGGGGGGGAGCTGGCAGGGGGCACCATGGCTCGGGCATTGGCTGGGCATCGGTCAGTGGGCGGTGACTATTATCTTCCCTCCTTTTCTCTCCTATTTAACTGTCTTTATCTCAACCCATGAGTTTTACCGGTTTTTCCGACTCTCTCCCCCATCCCACTGGGGGGGCAGTGAGAGAGCGGCTGTGTGGCTCTTACTTGCCAGCTGGGGTTAAACCACAACAACCTGCCTTGTTCCAGTTAGATAATCCGTGATGCCTTCTTCTTGGCATAGAAACAAACACAAGCAGAAAGTCATGCAAACCTCTGGAACATCTGACCGAGCTGGCCAAGTCCTCAACTGCTCAACGGAGACTTTGTGAGCAGAAATAATTTGTAGAATTTGCTCTGCACTGTGCACGTTCAGTCCTCTACCCTCCACCTGCCCATCACACCATCCAAGGTCCATCTTCTCAGTGTGATCAAGCAGGTACCACTCCAGTATGATTTCCATTACTGCAAATACGACTTTCAACATCTTCCTAACACTCAAATTCAGAATAAAGATTCAGGTATTTAACAATAGACCTCAAAATCCACACCAAGACATTTCAGTAACTCATCACATTTCAAGATGTTTAACAGACAACAGTTCCTAGGAAGTCAACAGCAAACGCTGACCTCTTGCCTAGGTCTTCAGAAGAACATCTGCTGTTACATTGAGAGGGCAACACTGAAGCAGCTAAGTACCCCTGACTTCCAGAACCTGTGGATTAAAAAAACCCAAACAGCCCCCCCTCCCAAAGGCAGCCACCACCACTACCACCACCAAAACACCACACACACAAAACACTAACAAACCCCCCTACATCCTCCCTCCCCCCAAAAATTCTACCATTAAGTCTAATACACTTTTTTAAACATCTTGGCCTAATAATTCAAGGAAGCATTCCATACATTTACACAGACTTGCCTTTAAAAACAAACAAACAGTGTGACACAGCAAAATACCCAAGAACATACAAAGCAGCCTCAGTGCACCATCCACGACAAGCTATCAATTAACGCCCAATAAATCAAGGAAACCACCCGCCACTCTTCAGATACAGCAAAATCCAGTGCAACAGGGTACTGACACCAAAGCGCAGGCACCCAGGGAAGAGAACCGTAACGCGGGGTCAGGCGTGGTTTGTAGGTAACGAACCAGCAGGACAACACCCAACACTGCAACCGGACAAAAAGACGAGGAACAGAGTGTTTAGAAAGATAGCAGACAAACTGCCCTGGCAAGGAACACTCGGGTATGGACACAGCATCAGTCTTCTCCACACTGGTTGAGCTTTCCAGGGAAAAGCTCTCCTGGAGGAATGAAGGGAGCTCAGAAAACACAACAGGCAGAGACCTGCGGCTTCCCAGGATATGCAACACAGAGTCAACTTTCTTCCTAAGGATCCCTCAACCACAAGAAAACTCCTTTTTATGAATCCCAGGTGTATAGATATGAAGAAAAAAAAAAAGGTATGTAGATTCGTTTTACATATTGACCTTTCTCATAAAGATTAACAATTTGTGCCACATTACTTTAAACAGAATTAGTAATGTAACTTATGTCTAATAAAACTGAGCCCAGTTGTATTACCTTTTCTCCACCATCTTTCAAAAACATCACGAGGAATCAATTGTTTTATAACTTACACAACAAAAACATCTAGTTCTTCAGCTAAGGAAGAACTCACCCTTTTACACTTCAAGATAACTAAGGTTTCAGCACTACAGATACACCTGCAGGCTCTGTTCATCAGCTACGCAGCACGACCACGAGCCCCTGGGGCAGCCACTTGTGGCTGTCCCACGGCTCTGCACGCGCTGCCAGCGCAGGTCCTGCTCCCCAGGGCACCTGCAGGAAGGGCGACGCTCTCCCCGCTCGATCGCGCCAGGTGCTGAGAGGCAAAACAGCCTCTGCCACCATCCACTTCTGAGAGAGAGCCGGCAACACCGGGCAGTACTTACGGGCGGAACCAAGGAGGGCCACATTAAAAATGGAGAGAGACACTAAAATGTTAATTTTTAATAATCAGTTATAACACATGCGGAGGGATATCAGCCATGTGGGTTTTCTCCCCAGCGCCTGACACTTTAATATACAGAGTACGAGGAAAGACCAGGCAGCTCCTGTCGCTAGCTAACCTACCCAGAAGGTAAGATTTTTTTTTCTGTCTGCACTACTCATCCTCAACTCCCTTTATACACCACGGAGAAAGATGGCCATTGTATCTTCCAAAACAACCAACACCCCGGAGGTGGCTCCCCCCTGCCCTGTAAAGGCAGCACGGGGCGAATAGCTCAGACCCCGTCACCGAGCTTTAGCTGCCCAGTTCCCATAGGACCCTCGCCCTTCAAGCATCTGCAAAAACGGGAATGGCTAATAGAGGGCTCAAGGATTAGAGCAACCTAAGCAAACTTATTCGGCTAGTAAACTTGGAGACATTTTAGCATGAAATCTACATTTGGTGAAAGATGAAATGACAAAAAAAGGCTTAAGCCTGGCCAGCAAAAGGGAAAGGAAAAACACCTCCAGCAGAGATGCTGTAGTACGGCGTCTTGTGTGATTTCACTGACAAGGAATCTGCACAAACACAGCCATACCACAACTGGAGAAAATTATGATCCCAAACTAAGAACCATCTGGCAAGCTTCACGGGGAGACATTCAAATTAATGGCCAGGAGAACAGCTTTGTAAGAAGTAATATTTCATGACACGAAGTCCCATCAGTACTGTAGACACCAATCCACAGTTTAAGCCAGGCCTGTGCTCTCCTACAAACTCTTCTCTCCAACATACCTGGTTAAGCACAACATTGCCTTTTTAATGAGACAGAAGACAGTAATTGCAGGCACGCACTCAGAAGTCTTTGAAAAGTTACTTCTTACCGAAAGGAGGTAGTCCGTAGGTTTGGGTGGTCTGGGGGTAGATGGTGTAGGGCTGAGACTGCTGTAGTGCTTGGTACTGAGTCTGACCAGGGTAAGGGCTCATTGTTTCCGATACAGGTACAGAAAGGATATGTGCATATGGCCTTATTAAAAAGAAAGAACAATTGACATTATGCATCTTTCAGTCTCCAAACCAGAAGACACGTTAAAACATTGCTTTAGGAACTACCCACTGACCCGTGCTCTGAGTGCCATACCCGACCGTGCTTCCCAGTACGACAGGCTCTTGGGTTACACACGCTGCCTGTTTCTTGCCGTGGTAACAGGGGAAGCTCTCTCCTCCATGATGCCAGAGCACCAGTGCTTAGTCCAGGGCTGGGAGGGCAGGGTGAGAGGGGAAGAACAAACTCCCCCTTCCAACAGGTACAAGCAATTACTTTCACCTATCACGCCTCACAACACCAAATCCTAAAGCTAGTACGACGTAGCAGTACATGTCTGAACTACCAGAACCCACAAAGAGGCAACACAAAAGCAGGCACGGGGGACTGAGGCCTGCTATGGTGCAATGGGAAGAACTGTTAAGATCCCCGAACGTGGTAAAGGACCAGAAAATCCTGCATTCCCCTTATATTCATTTATATCCAATCTGTTTATTCCTCATATGGGCATTATTCAACAAGACTATTGTGTTGTTAATTACTTGAAGTGGCTCATTTATCCTTAGGATCATAAGACAACAGCCACTGAAGCCAAAGGGTGACCTCTATCAGCTTCAGTGTCCGCAGCACTAAGTATCTCTTGCCAGAAGATAGGAAAGTGTGATTTACAGCATTTCAGAAACATGTAAGATGCAAAAAGATCACTTCAGAAAGAAGTAAGAGTTACAGAATTTATTAACAACTGTTCAACTTACTTTGCAGAATACATTTGTGAGGTATAATCATTTGATGACCTTGGGATATAATCAGTGCATGTCATAACTGGAAAAAAAGTAGTTTGTATAGTTACACAGGCGATTTCAAAACCCAACAGATAATGACAATTAAAGATCAGTATGCACAGTACATTTTAACCAAGACATAGGATTTTCAAAGGTGTTTTAGTGCCCTGAATATCTGTTTCAAGGCAAATTCTCAAAACATGCACTGTTAGAACTGCACAAAAATGTTTTTCTTGCCAGTTCACAGCAGGTAGATGATTCAGTCAATACAATTTCTCCCTTTGTAACAGTTCTCTTTCTCTTTACCAGCTGGTACTGTCATCTTTTGCAATACTCATGATAAAACTCTTATTTCAGCCCAGCCCAAAACCTTCTATATGCCAAAGGGTCTTCATCTGCACCCAGCTCAACATTTCTTTCTGCATCCCAGAGCAGGGACCAAAGCAGACGCTTGTTTTGCCAAGCTTTCCTCTTCCCTTTTCTACATACTTGACCCAGAGCATGGCTCCAGCATTCTGCCTTTCCTTTCAAAAGGGCTGGTTCCCAGCTCAACAAACTCAGTCCCACACATCAAGCAGCAACAGGTGGAGCTGCAGTGCACAAGGCTCGGAGTCCAAATCCAGATGACCTCTTAAAGAAATTCGGCAGATACATTTAATGGGATGTTTCCATTTTTCTGCTTGTATAAATCCTCAGCCATTGCCCTCTAAAAGTGGTAAGAAAGAGTCATTTGGGTTGCAAATCCAAGCAGGAACTGTTCAACATCTTCTCACTTAGCACTGCCTACGGCTCTAGTATACCCCACACGTCAGTCACACAGTTCTGGGTTGGGGTGGAGAAGGGGGATTGAGATGGTATGTCTTAATGCAAGAGCCATTAAAAAAGCCCCTGGATTCAGATGAGCTGACAGGATAAATACTCAGTTGTCCATCAAACTAGGAAAGCAAGGACGTGCAGGACCCCTGGCAAACAATCTGGCACTGTGCAGCCCCTCCGGCCCATGCCACCCCCGCAGTGCAGGGTGCTGCCGTCACCTCCGAGCTAGGTGACTTTTCTGACTGTCAATCTGCACGGTACAGGGGTTTACCAGGTCAGCTCTACAAGCACCACACCCAGATTCTTGGCAAACACAGCTGTGCCGCTGTGGATCCAGCTCACCCACCTGAAGCCAGCCGGGCAGGCGGCAAAGCACCCAGGTTCCAGCCCTGCCTAGGCGGGGATCCAGGCTAACAAGGTATCTCCTTTACGGGCCCAGGGCCCGGATCCTCCATCACTTACAAGACAAGAGACCGCACTTTCCCTCTCCTTTCTGGGGCGGCGCTCAACCAACAGCCTTCACAAAGAAACGTGGTCACGGACGGCAGCATGCTTTGCCTTGGGATTCTCTCCGGATGCAGCGACGGGCTGCAACAAGGCAGGCTTACCCTGCCTGGAACAGTCCTACAACGTTATTGCTCTTCTGTCACCACGTAGCTAACCCTCTTAGCAGTGACATCCACTGAGGGGAGCAAGCTAGCTTGCACAGGCAACCCTAACTGTAACGTTTGCATTCTGCCACCTAAATAACCTCCTCTTAGTGGAACCTGAGCATAAGCGGCTGAGAAATACAAACCATCAGCCACACGTTAGTTTGTACTTGTTGTTGTCCTGAACATTCCGAATGGTCCATGAATCACCTCCCTCTGGTTCCCCAGAGTCTGCCTTTACTCATGGTGTGACGCCCATGTAGCACAAGGTTACAACAGGAAACACAAAACTGGGGACTTTTGGACCTAAAGGCTTTCATTCAACACTTGTCAGATATCCTCACATCCCTCACGCAAAAATGTCTTTTAGTTTTTTAAAGAATGTCAATATTCATCAGAATCGTAATGCAGTAATGTATTTCTAGCATTCTTTTAAAATAGCACATAAAGAATTAGGTAATGGCATAAAAAAGAAAAAACCCCACAATATTACTGCATGCAGGTTCTGGAACTGTAAATGTTAGGCAGGAGATTTCACGGGCTAAAACTTCTGGTAACCCCTGCAACTGCAACATCACGGCACATTGATTTAAACAGTAAAGATGCCATCAGTTAGCAATGGGAAGTGACACGTTACCTATTTTCAATCAAGTTGAGCTGATTGCCCATACTTATTTATTAAGTGTAAATCAAAGGTATTCTACACAGGAATCCTACTTTCGCAATAACCTCCAGCCCTCTTTTTCCAGAAGACAGGACACATTCCATCTCACACTCACTAAGCAATCTTTTTATTTTCTGCCTCAGTTTCCCCTCCATTTTTTTCATAAGGGATTTCTGCAGACACTCAATGCAGTTCGGAGTCTAAGATTAAGTGTACGGCACATGACATTACAAAAGACCCAACCAGCTGTGTAGAGAGAATGATTTATAAAAATATCATCTTTCAGAACAGGTATTACTGTTGGTCAACTCAACCCCTTCCCTCAAGAAAAATTACGTATATGGCGGATAAGACATGGCAGCCCCCAGCCACAAGTTGAGGGGCAGGGACACACAAACGTTTGTTAGACAGAGATATTTGCTCACCATCAGGCACCAACGCTTTGTAAGCGCCACAGCAAACTTTCACTTTACAACTGATAGTGAGGACAGGCTAAGGATTACAAGGAGGAGACAAAGCTTGTGCTTGATGAAGCAAGTAACAAGACCAGTGGAAGAAAAGAGGAAAGACAGTGGGAGCAGAACTTCAGAAGATACTTACTCTCACTGGACATGGGAAGGTTGGAACCAAGGCTTGAAGATTCAGGTTTCTGATCGCTGACTTCTGCGCTGCTCACATGACTGCCAGGACAAACGAAGGCTAATCATTAGCATGACGAACTCTTAAACTAACATCCTTGGGCATCGTAACCCCTGGATTCAACCTTCCTAACAGAGGCAAACTAACTCTTAACAGAACTAGCTCTGCACTCTCTGATCTTTCACACAGAGGTCCCACGAGAGAGCTTTGCAGGTCTAATTAGACCTTAAACTGTCATCACCTCCAGCACATTTACTCACCAACTGGTCTCCCAAGATAAGGCTGTAGCTTCACTGACGGCTCAGCAGACCCAGCAGCTTGGTGCTGCTGCCTGCAGCAGGAGGCATGAGCTTCTTTCCTGCTGCCTGGGCACGGCCTCCTGCTCCCCTCTGTCAGCCCAGGCACCCTTCAGGCTCTCCATGAGAGTCTGATTTGCTCATCCAGCACAAAAACCACAGGTATGTTTGCTGGGATACTGAATAGACTCAGCTCACAGAGGGATCCAGCAAGCACCACGCTCGGTGCACACTTGAGCTACAAGCAGAACTCCCCCTCCCAGCAACCACAAGCAGTTACATTGGCTCCTTCACCTTGTAAAACTGCAGCCTGAGAATATCAGACCAACACACAGATGCCTCAAAACTTCATGAAAAGCTGTGCTGCAGAACTAGCAATATAAAACTAAAGCCAAGAAGGCAATCGTAAAAAAAAAAGCAGTTTCATCAAGAAATTATCTCTACTTCCTACTCTACCCATGAACAAAGCAAACACTGGCACATAACCGAAACAGCGTGTGACAAATCCAGAGTAACCCAGTAACCCGTGAACACTTCTTAACTACAGAAGTGACTCCCAGTTCAAGGATGCTTCAACACTGGTCTTCAGAGAGAAACGCAGCAGCAAGGCAACCTGCCCCGGACACGGGGGTCTGTGGCAGCAGGACCACAACATCCCGCTCATGGCAGCCTCGACGTGGCTCCTGCAGGCTGGGGGGAAGCAGAAGCCGAGGAGTGTGTGGTATCAACCAGCAGCGCCCTAGTAGCTCCATCCTGCCCTGGACTGCTCCTGCAGGCTGTGACAGGCCCCTTTTGTCCAGCTCCTTGCTCCAGGATGGGTCAGAGAATCCCCTGGAGCAGGAGGTACAGCTTTCCTGGGACAGGGTAAGCGGGGGAGTTGGCTAGTGAGTGCCATAGGTTTGGTTATAAGGCAAGCGAGTTTCCTTCCTTTGGCTGGTGAGAGGGAGTGAAGCTTAACCAAAATGCACAACTTGGCTTTTTCCCCCTGAACACCTTTATAAGCAAAATCCTTGGAAATCTTTCTCAATACTAGTAGATGAACAGACTTCCATAATAAATCACAGAATCACACAATCACAGGCTGTCAGGGGTTGGAAGGGACCTCGAGAGATCACCTAGTCCAAGCCCCCGGCCAGAGCAGGACCACCCACAGCAGGTCACCCAGGAACGCGTCCAGGCGGGTTTTGAATGTCTCCAGAGAAGGAGACTCCACCACCTCCCTGGGCAGCCTGTGCCAGGGGTCTGCCAGCACCACAGGGCACAAGCTTTTCCTGATGTTCATGTGGAACCTCCTGTGCTCCAGCTTGCACACGCTGCCCCCTGTCCTGTCACTGGCCATCACCAAGAAGAGCCCAGCTCTATCCTCCTGACACTAAATACTGAAGCACGAGTTTTGCAAGAAAATAACGTATTTCTATGCAGACTCGGGGTATTCGTGTGTCATTATCCTTGGTGGAAAAAAATGCTGTGATTCTGTGGCACTGACAGTCGAGCTGTGGCTGCCAAACGGCATGGCATCTGCAAGCAAGTCGAGAGCTGCTCATGGTGACCACTTCCTGCGGAAAATGTAACAGATAACATAACAGTTCTGACCACATCATAGCAGCCCATGTTTCTGCTCTCTGCTGCGCTGCTGCTCCTCAACACATCCACCTGTGGCCCTTGGGACACATCCATCCCAAGTGCTCTTATTCTCCATCACTTACAACTTCTCAATTCTCACCAAAGCAAGAGGCAAATTCGCACTTGCACCGTGGCTGCCTCGCACCACCGAGCGCACCCTGCAGAGCACGCTGCAGCCACAACACTGTTAAGACTCTTACTGAGCCTTAATGCTCCCAAGAGAGACGACCCTCACTGGGGTACAACAGCTCCTTCCTTCCCTGCTTCCAAAATCCAGCTGAAACAAATACAGCCAGAGTATTGACATTGGCTGAAAACCATGTTGCTGAGGAGAAACAGGTCTAATAAATTATTTGAAACTATTCCATAGGTCAAATTTAAAATCATATATGGTTTTATCAAAATACAGCCGGAATATTTAAACAGAGTATTTAACCAGGTTAGAAATGCAATTTTATCCCTCCCCTCCATTCTATTTTTTAAATACTATACAAGGATGTTTACGCTCAAGTCTTGAGGCTACCGGCACCCGTAGGAAAGCTGTGAGCGCACTGCAGCAGGGTAACACGCGGGAGGAGAAGCGACGCCATTCCCTCCGGCATGCTCAGACCTGCCTGTGCTGCCCGCAGCTCTTCACAGACAACAGAGGGAAAAAGTCGCCCTAGGACACGGCTCATCTCACCTCAGACCAGCTAGAAAGGGAGCTTGCAGTGATTAGCTCAGATTTCTAACTTTTAGGCACACAACGCACTGTTTGCTCACTGCTTCCTGTTGAAGTATTCCCTTTGGACTTTTAAAAAAATACATACTAGTGTTCCCATTCAGGGCTTCAAGGTACCGTGTCCATTCCTAAATGAACGGCACACACAGTGTTTCCTTCTCGCTCACACTGGGATGTCAGAAGCTCCAAAAAGAAATCTTTCTTCACAGTATTTGCTACTACTCACAGGAACAGAGTAAACCCTAATCTAGCTATTCTCATTCTATGTAATAATAGTGGCCAATTCCTAAATACAATATACATCAGAAAGCACCTACTGAGGCTAAAAAGAGTACAACACAACAGCTTTAAACAGAAGTGGCTATCGATTTGAGAGCGTTTCATGTCTCAAAACAGTTATCCAAGTAGTTGTGCTGAAAATCATAGCCCAGGTATTATTAAAATATTCTGAGTCTCACCAGAATAAATGCATGTTATGTGCAGTCTCATCAGATTCTGCAGAAAACAGGATGCTTAATTATAAAAGCTTAATATCAAAGGGCCAGTTTATTTTTTCTTATTGGGCACTTAATCTCAAAATTATACCAAATACAAAAGTGACTTATATTTGCCCTATCTCTGTGAAAAATAAAACAATATGCAAGCTTCTGAAATAGGGGCTTACAATGATAAGAGAACATTAATAACTGTTTCACTCTGAAATGAAATTCAAAATTACGTACCTCACGCTTTGTTCTCGGGATTCCTGCATCTTGGCTTTTTTCACCTGAAAGACAAAAGCGTTCAGAGACACAACTAACGAGAGCTGTCCTTGACAGAACCTACGCACACAGACTTTCAGCAGCAGATCACCGCCGGTTACTATAGAGTTCCCACTGGTCTTTAAATTCAGAAAGCCTTGCACTGAACTCCAGAGCTAACCAGTGCAACCACAGGTTCTTCATCTCAAAACAAGCTTTCTCCTAAGCGGAAAACAAGTGCCAACACTGAACACGGCAGCAAAATTGCCATGTTATTTAAGTAAGTAACAGAAGGTGAGATATACAGCTACAAACATCCAATAAGGACAATTTTACTGTCTGAATAGAACAGCCATAAATTTTAGGAAAATCTTATTCTGCATAGATTCAGCGCAACTGCCATAAACTGGGTCCTTTGCTTTTTCCCACCCTATATTTAAATATTATATAAGGATAGGAACTTCAATATCTTTTCTGTAGTAAATTAGGAATTCCAATTTTCATTTCTGAGTAAAAACAGTGCAGCATCTACTCTGTTTCTGTAGGTGGCCAGATGGATCCCGTTCCTCTACAGAGTATCACACAACAGAACGCACTGGCTTGAACACAAATCTGGTTTTCTGCATGCAGGCTACAAATACGACTTGGAAACCCTCAGCAGGATGACAGCGTTACTTTCTGTAGCCTGTAGTCTTTTGAGGAGACGCTCCTGCGATATACAGGCTTTTCTTGCCCCACCTTCTCCCACTAACAGAAAGTTTCACAGCCTTCCATGTTTCTGGGGCACATTTAGATGCCAAACTTGCTGCTTCGGTACCCAGCTGCGCTCACCACTCAGCCCAGTCCCCGCAGGCCACGTTCAGCACGTGCCTTCTGTGAACCGGGTCTGGGAAGGGACGTGCTGGGCATCGGGCTGCAGGGATTACAGCCCCTGCCTCAGGTACAGCACTCACAGAGAGCCACTAGCAGAAACGCCTCACCATTGTATCCAAGTTTGTCTCTCTCAGGTGAGTATAAATTAAATGCCAGGAAAATGCAATTTGAGCACGAAAGGTCAAAATGTGCTCAAAACCTTTTCAAAAAAATAAATTAGGAAAACACAGGTGAATTCCTGTTGGTTAGGTGAAGATGGGAGGCAGAGGTACAAAAAAGGATAAAGGCTGAAGGCGGCAGCAAGGGGAAAGAAGTAAGCAAACAGGATGGAAAGGAGGAAGTGGAAAGGACAAACTAGTCTTGCCAGCAGCTATTCCCTCCGGCATTTCACAGCAGAGCACTACAGACTTCGTTAGCACTCACCACACAGGCACAAAAGGCAAAGGCAGAAAGACTGGCGATACAATGGCTCAGGTACCACACAGCCTCAGATCTTCTGACATCCATCACTTCAACCTGGGCAAAGAACTGGCAGCACTGGCATTGACATTAACTCCTGTTGTGGTTCTTCAGCCCCACAGCTTCGCAGACTTCTCCAGAGCCCTTCTTCTGCCTGGCCAGGAACATACACTACTGCTGCTCTATCGCCACGAGGGCCAGGGCCTAAAGGAGCTGCATCAGGCTTCCCCACCCAAAGACGATGTTAACTACAACACTAAGGGAAAGCAGAAAGTGTTCCCCCAGCTCCCCCGGCACCCAGTTATCAGAGCACGGCTGCTGCCCATCCATGGCACCCCCCAACTCCTTTCGGCATCTTTCCGCCCTGCAGCAGGTGCTCCAGCTCTCCCCTGGGACCCTGCCACTCACTCGAGAGCGGGGACCTCAGCCATCAACGCTGCACCAGAGAGCTCAGGGGGCCAACTGCTCACAGGGCTCTTGAGGAAAGGAGATAGAAGAAATTAATCACATCAGAAAAAGTAGCAGCAAACTGCTTCAGACCAAAGTTACATTGAGGATAAAAATAAAAATTAACTTAAAAGTTGGTAGCTTGAATTTTAGGTTTCCCAGGAGGAATGCTGCTGTTTCCAGTCACGTACTCAATCAGATCTGGCTTCTTCAATCCAGGCTTTTTTTTTTTTTTTTAATATATGGGAGGTGGACAGAGAAATCAGCTCACTTACAAAAAAAACCCAAAACAAACCAAAAAAACCCTCCAAAAAATGCAGTGAGGTTTTGCAAGAACAAATCAGTTTTACTGACATTTTCATCACAACCAGAATGGAACAGCTTTTCTTGAAACACCTCTTGATAGTCAGGACTTGAGCTCAAAGCACTGCTCTACCGCTCTGCCAGCTTTGGTCCCTGGACTGGACCTTCTATCTTGATGAGTGTCTGCACCATCAAGGTCATCACGGCCATCGTGCCTTGTCCTCCTCTGACGGGAGACCTTCCCACTCTGCCAGAAACGTGCCCTTGGTGTTGTACAGAGAGCAGTATCTTAAATGAGTTTTCCCTTAAGTCAATTGTTAATTTCATTTTTTAAAAAAATCAATAAATACCTGGAGAGGCTCTGGAACATGGGAAAGCCAGTGGGCCTATGCAGCCTAAGTCCAGCTAAACAGCAATTTTGAATTTTAACCTACCATGTTCCCGCCTCAACTGGCTAGCCTTGGCTAGTCCCCACCTCTGCAGGATTTTAAAAGGAATTCTCCCTAACACCTTAACACTAAGCAATAACATTTACAAAATCTTGAAACTTCAGTGGGATGCAAACCCCATCTTCTACCCGTCACTAATCACTGCAATTTCCGCCACCAGTTTCAGTGGAAGGGAACAGTTTTACACACCCTCTGTCCTGGGCCCGCAAAGCATGGTCTCTCCCCCCTGGCACAGGTCACAAAACACATTTAACGCAGGAACAGCACCTACTAACAACAACTGAAGGATGATCGGGGCACAAGGCGAGAGCGCTGCCACGATGCGCTGTTCTCCCAGCCGAGCCCTGCATGACCGCACTGCACCGCCAAACCCTGCACGGGGCACCAACCCATCCCCTCCGGCAGCAGCCTTCGAAAAGGCCGCTGAAAGCTCTTCCAGCGCCTCCTCTCAACACACACTCCCGTCTGAAAAGCTCCGGAGAGATGCTGAAGGGTTTTTTGTCCCCTCTCAAGTGACAGGATCACAGTTTGAAGAGTTGTCATGCAGGAGAAGTGAATTCACTACTTT